ACAGCGAGCGTGCCAGCCAGGAGTTTGAGCAGAGCTAGTAAAAGCCGCGGCTGGGCGGCCCGCTGGACCCGTTAAAAGCTTCAACACCTTGTTAAATAGCGCTAAACTTCTTTTAAATGTTTGGGTTCTTCCTGCAACAAATAATCCTTCATCCCAGAAGGATACTCTAAGGAGTGAGCACACGGGCCTACTGTACGCCGAGAGGAGGATTAGTCAGGTGAATCCTTCATGGCCGTTTTATAGGAAGCAGTTCAAGTTTAGTGATCTATGGGCCTGCTAAAAGCTGAACGCCAGGCTCCAATACTTTCACTGAAAGGGCCACTTGCCCTAGACAACATTTTGGAAAATTATTATTATAATTGGTATTTATAGAGCGCAGACAATTTACGCATCACTTTACACTGTGCACATTCACATCAGTCCCTGCCCTCAAGGAGCTTACAATGTGAGGTCCCTATCTCACATACATACATACATATGAGGCTGATTTAGACAGGAACCAATTAACCTTCCAGCATGTCTTTGGAGTGTGGGAGGAAACCGGAGTACCCGGAGGAAACCCACACACAGGGAGAACATGCAAACTCCTTGCAGATAGTGACCTGAACCAGGGACCCACAGTGCTAGAAGTGCTAACCACTACGCCACTGTGCTGCCCAAAAAGGAATTACCCCCACCCATCTGCCCCCAAACCAACAACCCCCAACCCCAATCTGGCCCCTCTCATTTATGTGTGCAATTCTCATTTTGAGATACTGAGCTCTATAAACTGGCTATTTACCGCAGAAAGACATCTCTGAAAAACATGTAAAAAGACTAAAGACTACCCCCGTACTACAAGAGTTAAGGGTTTGGGTTTTTGTAGGTGCAACAATAATAAAGTTATACTCAACTGATCCTCAGAGTCGGCTTGTTCTTAGACTGGTCTAGTGCTGCAACCAACTAAAATCGGTTGATCGACAATAATCGATAATTCGAATAGTTATCAACTATTCTCATTATCGATTAGTTGGTTGGATCCCCTAGCTCTCTCCTACACGCACAGCAAGCAGTGGGCGGGTGCAATAGCCAGCTATTGGTTATGGCAAACTGAAATGGCCAATAGCAGGCTGCCTATTGTACCCGCCCAATACCTGCTGTTTTTACATTCAGCTGCTGTCTGTGGAATCTTGCTACTGGCAGCTGTCATTCCCAGGCTGAAGCTTTTCAAGCGCCATGCGCTTACAATACAATTATTTAAAAAAAAAAATTATATATCTATATAGATATATCAAAATAAAAAGTGGGGGAAAAAGTATTTTTTGGTTTCGGCCTGACAAATTCTGCTGCAGGAGGTGCATTGCACTGCCATTCATTTCAATGGCACCCCGAACGCGCCTCCCACCAACAGTGTGGAATGCGTGGTACCACAAAGCCGTGCGTTCCAGTGCGGTGCGATTGCATAAAATTGTGCATGCAGTTTGATTTTGAAGTAAACTTGATGTTGGTAACACTGCATGTGTATTTTATTTTGCATTAAGGATTGGTATTTACATTTCTTTTATCCGATTAATAAAAAAAAACAAAAAAAAACAGGCCAACTAATCGATTATGAAAATAATAATTAGTTGCAGCCCTAGTCTGGTCCCTCTAGCCTCTCTCCTGCTCTGCTACAGCAGTCTAAGGTCAAGTGGTTCTTCACGTCCAATACACTGTGTATGGACATACAGGACATATGAAGGACATACCATCGCTGCAGTGGAGGAGCGCTGTCAGAGCTGGCCGGCTGAGAGGTTCAGGAGAGTATAACTTTGTTATTTTAGCACCTAGACCAAAACGAGCACTTAACCCTTGCAGTGCTGTAGTACCCCCACTGCAAGGGTTAAGAACATTTTGACCCAGAGTTCAGTTTTAAGAAAACTGCATCCCATTCGACACGGTGCCAAACACAAAAGCCAAAACTTTAGTTTTCTCCAGAGTATGGAAAGGGAAAAACCCCTATCAGGTTATTATTTGCAGTACGTGTCCCGCTGGGAAGATCACCCTTCACTTCCTGTCCTGGAGATGCAACAGGAAATTAGGGAAAATCTCTAAGAAGTGAGCAGAATTTCCATCTTGGAGCTCAGTAACAGGAACAGGTGTTTTTTCCCTCTTCACTTGCTCAAGTGAAAACGCAAAATGTCAGACTCCCCCTTAATCTCTGTCTTGTGACAATGGTCACCAGGACAAACAGGGAGACAACTCTCCCCAAGCTTGTGGACAGACAGCAAAACAAAAAGGGTGCAGCTCTAACTTTCTCTATCCAAAACTAAAGGAAAATGGTCTTCCTATACATAATAATCATGTTCCCGTGTGCAGGAATAAAACTGAATACAAATAACCAGCCAGACTGAAGATAATCAAATTTGTTCCCTGCCTTTGAGACTTTTGCTTTGCATATCCTCACGTGACCACTAGCTGGCGTCATAAGAAGCTGAAAAACACGGCACACGCGTCAGCTTCATTTCCCACAAAACTAGCCGAAAAGTATTTCCGTATTCAGCTTCATTCCACACATATATTCTGCTCCTATATGGTAACATCTGAGCGAGCTGCAGACCAGGCTGGCACATTCTGTACTAGGTTCCTGAAAACCATCAGAGCCCTCGGGAGCGGAAGCTGTGACTTGTTCAGGAAGAGTTTCATACGAATCCCCTGGCAATGCTGAATGGAATGTTAAGAAACCAGGATTCCGCTGTGACACCAGAAGACGTATTTACTAACATTCTGCTAGACTACCAATCAGACACTGGCCTCAACATTCAGCTGCAAGTTACTGAATGTTGGCAAACACCTTCCATCTCTGTAGGATCCTGTATATGTGATAAAGAGGTTTTAATATGTGAATGGGTTCAGCCCATTTAAAATGATGTTTTCAGTGTGTATTAGGCCTCATTTACACCGGTACTCAAAAGTTACACATTCTAATATTTCGTTGGACCGCCTTTAGCTTTGATTACGGCACACATTCGCCGTGGCATCATTTCGATAAGCTTACACAAGATCACAACATTTATTTCCATCCAGAGTTATTCATTTTTCACCAAGATGTTGTAGTGATGATGGGAGAGTCGGACCACTGTGTAATGTCTTCTCCAGCACATCCCAAAGATTCTCAATGGGGTTAAGGTCTGGACTCTGTGGTGGCCAATCCATGTGTGACAATGATGTCTCATTGTCCCTGAACCACTCTTTCACAATTTGACCCCGATGAATCCTGGCATTGTCATCTTGGAATATGCCCAATGTGCCATCAGGGAAGAGAAAATCCATTGATGGGAAAACCTGAGCACTCAGTATATTCAGGGAGGCAGCTGACCTAATTTTTTGGGGACATAATGTTACTGAACCTAGATCTATTATCCAATTGCTTAACTAAATCCAGGTGGTGACTTTTTGTTTTGCACAGGCAGTGTATAAGCAACTTTTATATTTCCCAGATCACTTTTCTTGCATTTAAATGTTCCTCCTTTAGGGCTTATTCCCATTGGTGCAAAGGCAAGCATATGGTCATACAACATAAAATATGGCTGTATTTGCTGCACCCAGGAGTCCCAGGTGCTGCATTTTTAGAATCGTATGGACAGAATACATTGGTACGCATGTTTAAGCGCAAGTACCGGTGTTCACACAGCATAAAATATGGCCGTATTTGCAGCGTCCAAAAGTCCCAACTACTGCATTTTTAGGATTGTATGGACAGAATTCAGGGGTATGCACCCCAAGTATTAACAACATTGTATCTTATTTGTGTATCACCTGTCTGTAGATCCTCAAATCATCTCTGAATTGGTGCTGACATATAACATAACATGGGTATTGTGCGTTATTATTAAAGGAGAACTATGGGGTCAGGGCTTTTCCCCATAGTTTTCTTAAGGGCAACGGGAGGACACAAACTAGCCTACAGCTCGCGGTATACTGAGATGCCGGATCCCGGCATTACTGTCGAGATACACCCAGCTGCGGGATTGACAGCTGGCTCTGCCTATCTAGAGGCAGAGCCAGCTGTGCTAGCCCCCTCCCCGTCCGTTCCGCCAGTCAGCACTGGAGGATCGGACAGGGGAGTGGGGGTATCCCTGCACGGAGCCGTGAGTGAAAGTCACGGCTCTCTGCAGGGATATATCGAGAAGTGAGTGAGCGACGGTATGTGCTCACTTTCCGATATATTGAGCCGACCTGTGACAGTTTCATTGTCACAGGTCGGCTAGAACTATAGAACTATGAAGCTGAGTGATTTTCACTTGCCTCATAATTCTCCTTTTAAGTTGAATTCTTGGTAGTATACAATTTTATAATATTATCCAATAATAATATAACACTAGAGATTGACTTTAATATATGAACTTTTTACCTGAACAACCCAGGGGCTGTTTGCGAAGGCCATGATATCTCTTTCCCTTGGTCACTGTGTGTGTTGTAAAGTAGACAACGATCCAAGCTCACTCGTGATGGACTACAATCTCAGGTTCACCTTACTAATTTGTATTGAGATTGTAGCCCATCACAAGAGTGAGCTTGGAGCAGTGACTACCTTATAATGTACACAGAGGCCATGGGGAATAAAAGTAGTCACCCTCCAGAAGGAAGTAGGACAGTGTCAGCACCAATTCAGAGATGATTTGAGGATCTACAGCCGAGTAATACATAAATAAGATACATTTGTGTTGATAGGGAATTGAATGTATTTTTAAGATTTAACTCCTGAATTTGGGGTCACTTTAAAGCCACTTAGGCTTCTATCAGCAACCAACTTTATATCCGTGTGATCATTACTTGTTTGGTTGCCAATAAAGGTCTAAGCCCATTATTGATTTACAGGGAATACATAATAGGATGTTACCTGGTAAACATGACTAATGCCATTATTGAAACACTCCTTGGATTATTTATTTTAGCAAACAATAATTCCCCAGCTTGATACAAGTCCTTAACGGCTTCACAATGATTAGTAATCCTAACATTTTCTTTTGAATGCTTACATCATCCATCTTCATACAGGTGCCAAAGTCGGCCAGCTTGACGTGTCCATGCTTATCCAGCAGCATGTTGTCTGGTTTAACGTCTCGGTGGATCAAACCCATGGAGTGAATGGCATCGAGGGCAAGGACCACTTCGGCGGTGTAGAATTTGGCCCACTTCTCAGGCACATCGTAGTTACTCATAAGGTTTACAAGATCACCACCCGGCATGTACTCCATCACCATGTACAGGTGCTTGTCATCTTGAAAGGCACAGGACAGCTGCAGATGAACATATAAAAAGGTTAAACCTGATAACAGTCCAGCAGAATAATCACACGGGCCATCATGTGTGCCGGTGTTAGGTATCATAGACATATAGAGAAGTGACAACAGAAAAAAAAACATATGGGCCATTCATTCTATGTTTCATCTTTTATATGTATGGGGAAAGTATAGATATAAGACCCCCCGCGGTTGCTAAAAAATATATTAAATAAATAATAACATAACACTGAGATTTACTTGAATACAGGAACTTTTTACCTGAATTACCCAAGGGCTGTTTGCAAAGGCCATGATATCTCTTTCCTCCCAGAAGAAAGCAGAGTCCGATCTTTTGATCATTTCAAATTTACTAAGAAGTTTCATTGCATATACATTCTGTGTGGTTTTGTGCCGGACCTGTTATGAAATGAAGAAAAATAGCCAATTAACTCTACGAAGCGACACAAGAAAAGGGAAAGCCATTTAGCAATACGACTTAAAATCCAAAAATAAAGAGACTGAAGGGCTCAGCAACTTTAAAAGGTCAGTCCATCCATAACTGGAAATACAAACACTGTCCTCCTTTAGCCATCGACCATTCAGGTGGCAAGATTTCTGCAGCCCAATTTCCAGTACCAACGACTTGCCAACTACAAAGCAGACCCATTCTCACTGTGAAATGTTATGTACATTCCAGAAAATGTTGCAGAAAGTGTAACACTATGATAGCAAGACCTCATAGTGTCCGTATGAATGTGCACGGTATTTACCAATATAGGGTAGCCTATTAATTTCAATGGGCTGCCCTATGCATAGCAAAGAAGCGAGCTTTGTGCACTTTTTACCATGAGTTTGTCGTGCCAAGACACGGGGTCTTGCTTACCATGCTTGAGATATCATTAACAGATAATGGAACTGCAAGCGTGTTACGTGAGCACATGCAAAAGTGCACAATATTGCACACGGTCACACGTGTGTCAAGTGTCAACGGGGCCAATGAGGAAGAATCACTACTGGAATGCCCAAGAGCAGTCTTTCACAACCAGGGTGCTGAGGCACGCTGGTGTGCCTCCTGATCTGCTCAGGGGTGCCTCAAAATTTTGTGGTAGGGAGACTGATGTGAAGGGGTTCTTGATGTAAAAGGGGAAGTCTGATGTGAAAGTGGGGGGGGTTCTGATATGAAAAAGGTGGGCTTCCCATGTGAAGGGGGGGTTACTCCAAAGAGTAACCCTGATGCAAAAGGAGGTGACTCTGATATGAAAATGGGGCTACTCATGTGAAGGGGGGGGGGGGGTCTGGATTTGAAGGGGGAGT